GTGAGGTGTGTGTGAGGGTGAGCACTGTGTGAGGGTGAGCACTGTGTGAGGGTGTGTGAGGGTGAGCACCCCTGTGAGGACAGGACAGCTTTCCCAATCGCTCCTTCGTCCAAAATGCGGAGCCTGAAATACCAAACCCAGGCTTGGCAGCATCATTACCCACTGAACCGTGGGCAGAAACTGCCAAGTCTAAGAGGAGAGGAGGCTCCTCGTGTTTAGTTTTCAGCAACTACTTTGAGGAGGTGACAATTCATTAACAGGAACAGTGGTGTAGATGGGAACCAGCAGTCCTGTCCCCTGGTTAATGAGAAATGAACGGGTTTTCACAGAGTAGAGGTCACGGGTGTCCTCTTGATTAGAGTAGGAGCAATATGCTCAAGACTTCAGACAAAAGAACATGAGATGAGACAGTCAGAATGTTGCTGGCTCATTGTGGTAGGCTTCCCATTTTTCTGTCCCTGTGGAAAAGGAAGATCCCTGGCTGAACAACAACAACATCCTGTGGGTTTTAGGAACCTATGGAGTTCGAAGATGTGTCACTTACATTTACCGAGGAAGAGTGGGCACAGCTGGACCACGAACAGAAATGCCTCTACAAGGAAATCATGCTGGAGAACTACAATAACGTGATTTCAGTAGGTAAGGCAGCCTCCACATTAATAGAAATGCTTGCGCCTTGGGTGGGTGATACACACATGGAATTCCATCACTCCAGAGGAGGAGGAGGAAGAATGGAATTTTGGGGCCCGTCTTCTTGACTCTGCCTCCTTCCTCCTCACCTTCCTTTGTTTTAACTCCTAGTGTGTGATGCCTCTGAGCCGTTTGTCTTGGGCTTAGACTGGACAGACCATAACATAACAGAAATGTTATGGCAGTGGAGAGCTTGGGAGAAAAGAAAAGGCACTTTTTCAGTATAACTTGGGAAGCTTTGGCCTCTCCATACATCAGAGCCTCTGAATACTGGCTAGAGCCTATAACGGGTATTCACAACTGCAGTGACAGTTGCCTGTGGTTGTTTTTTGGCACTCCCAGCATATGGGATGTCTATGTCCAGCAACTCAGGGGTATCATTAAAGATGGTGATTTCTTTTTGTTCTTTGGAAGTTTTCTGCCCTTTCTAGTTATTGCATAGCTGTGGCTCCAAGGTTCATGTCTATGTTTAGAGAGAAACAAGAAAAGTAGATAGTCCTGACAGTTCTTTATCAGCTGTCACATTTTTGCAAAGAAGGAAAAACTTGCCCAGAGTGTCCCCCAATTGAACAATCTCCCTTTTCACTTCATGGTTCCTCAGCTGTCAAGGAAACCAAAGAAATCCTATAACGGGTATTCACAACTGCAGTGACAGTTGCCTGTGGTTGTTTTTTGGCACTCCCAGCATATGGGATGTCTATGTCCAGCAACTCAGGGGTATCATTAAAGATGGTGATTTCTTTTTGTTCTTTGGAAGTTTTCTGCCCTTTCTAGTTATTGCATAGCTGTAGCCCCAAGGTTCATGTCTATGTTTAGAGAGAAACAAGAAAAGTAGATAGTCCTGACAGTTCTTTATCAGCTGTCACATTTTTGCAAAGAAGGAAAAACTTGCCCAGAGTGTCCCCCAATTGAACAATCTCCCTTTTCACTTCATGGTTCCTCAGCTGTCAAGGAAACCAAAGAAATCAACAAAAGGAAGGGCTGTGTAGTTGTCACTGCCCAAGGCCTGACGTCCTCTTGTCACAGCGTGGGGGAAGGAAGGGCTATAGTGCTGCAGCAGGACAGCATTTTCTCTGAGCAGACTCCCCAAGCCCTGTCTCTTTCCCTTGAGCAGAACATCACTTTTCCAAGCCAAATGTGATATCTCAGTTAGAAGAAGTAGAAGACTTCTGGCCAGTGGAGAGAGAAAGTCCTCAAGAGACCTTTCCAGGTGAGATCCAGGCGAGAGGGAGTTCACAAAAGGGATGGGCCTACTGATGACTCTGAGACTAATGTCTTCTAAGTGGTAGAGATTATGAGAACTCAGATAGCATGTTGTAATTACTATATGTTACTTTCCAATCTGCAGTCATTTTTCCTTGGTGCTGCTGATAAGCCCAGGGCATTTCACACAATCAGCAGTGCAAACAGACATGCTATCACTGAATTAACATCCCCAGTTTCAGTCCTTAATTGCAGTGGGGTTTATAATAATTGGGGTTTGTGTGAGGTAGTCATAGTGGTGTTTGGGTCTGGAATTTTGTTACTGTTTTTTATTTTCTGTTTTGTTTTGAGATAAGGTCTTATGCAACCCAATCTGGCCTACAACCTACTACATAAATAAATTTCTAGTCATCCCTCTAGCTTAAAAGTTCTGGGATTACAAATATGTGCTACTACACTGGCACCTGTTTTGATTTCTTTTCTATGTTTTGTTGTTATTATTGTTTTTAACCACATAAGCATATTATCTGAATACTTGTGTGAATTCAAGTATTTTAACTTTGTTTTTTGTTATTAACTATGTTCACTTTGTATGTGGTGGGCATATACTAATTCTTCTATTTGTTGGAAACACCTTCTTTCCATAAAATAAATTGCTATGTCAAGGTACAGATGCTTTGATCTTTTGTGCTTTTCCTCTCTGGGTGCATGCCATAATGCTCTATATTTAATTGTATCTTGGTATATTTTCATTCCCCTGTAATTAAAAAAAAAAAAAAAAAAAAAACAACTTAGGATGTCTTTGGTCTTCTAGTCCTCTAGATAAGTATCAGCTTGCCTGAGTTAGTTGAGAATATCCTGTTAGACTTTACATTAAATTGGATTAGACTCACATTGTTGCTGTTACTTGTGCTGGTTAATCCTCTCTTGCACAGTTGTTGAGATGAATCTGTCATCCTGCTACATTTTCTAACATTGGTGTTTGAATTACTTTTCTGCTGCTGTGAAGATGAGAGAAAGCATTTAATTGAGGGCTTGCTCACAGTTTCTGAGGGTGAGTCTGTGACCATCATGGTGAGGAGCACACCAGTGGGTAGGCAGGCATGGCACTGGAGCAGTAGTGGGAGCTTACATCCTGATCCACAATCAGGAAGCAAGACACAGCTCCTGATACCTGGAAATGATGTGGGCTTTTGAAATCTTATAACCCACCCCATTGACACAACTCTATCAAGACCATATTGAGTCCTTTTCAAACAGTTCCACCATCTGGGAACCAAGCATTCAGATATATTAGCCCATAGGAGCCATTCTCCTTCAAATCACCCCAATCTACTTGCCCCCCAAAACCCCATGGTAGTATCATAATACAAAATGCATTCAGTCCAAGTAAAAAGCTCCCCATATTCTTTCAAAGTCTTGGGGTCTGGATTGATGGCTCAGTGGTTAGAACATTGGCTGTTCTTGCAGAGGACCTAGGTTCAATCCGCAGCACCCACATAGTGGATGACTCCATCCCAGGGGATCTGACCCATTCTTCTGTGCTCTGAGGGCACTGAACTCACACATGCACGTACACTCACCGTAGTTAATAATGAATAAAATTTTAAATTAAAGAAGTTCAAATTCTTTCAAGTGTAACCCCCTTTAAATGCAAAAGGCTAGTTACATACTTCCAACACATAAATGGCAGAGAATATATATTACCATTCCAAAAGCAGAAAAGTATGAAAATATGTATCCAAGCAAGTTCAAAACCAAGCACAGCAACTCCAAACCCAGAAACTCCGTGTAATTTGGAGCTTGCTAACAGCTTCAGAGGGTTAGCCATTACCATCATAGTGGGTAACATGGCTACAGGCAGGCAGGCAGGCAGGCAGGCAAGGTGCTACAGCAATATCTGAGAACTTACATCTGATCCAGAAGCAGGAGGCAGAGTGATAGCTACTGGGACTGGCATGAGCTTTTGGAACACTCCCAGTGACTCACCTCTTCTGACAAGTCCACAACTTCTGCTCGTTGCCAAACAGTTCCACCAACTGGGACCAAGTATTCAAACCCATGAGTCCATGGTTATCAGTCTCCTTCAAACCACTACAACCACCAGGCCATCTCTTCAGCCCTATGTTAATGCTTTTCTTTGCTCTGTACAGTGACATAGTTGCATCATCATATACAAACATGATTCTGAAAGAAAGAGTGGTTATCTGGCCTCACTTAATAGGAAAATTGCCAGGTTTTGGTGAGCATGATCTTAGATGCTGCTTTGTTTCACATCAACATTCATCTGAATGACTAAATTTCCATCTAGTGCTAGAAATGAATGAGAATCCATAATGCTTCCTGTTTCCCTTCTAGAATCCTCCCAGGTGGTCAGAGTGGTTTTCTCCTTCCAATAGTTAGTGGTAACAGTAGATTTAAGAAATGCCTTGCTATGAGGTTATATTTTTGTGTTAATCTTCATAAGTGACAGGGTTGTATTCACTGTCTTTGCTATCTTCAACTGTTTTATTTATGTGTTGGCTCTAAAGCCCACTGTATGCTACTGGATGCTTGTCTTTTTTTTATGCTGTGGTGCAAGTAGCATCAGAGCCACAGCATCTGGCACTATTCACCTATCAAGTCTCCATCTGGTGCCATCTTTCGTGATGACTATCAGCTGGAACACAAAGGGACTGGAGTCTCTGACTTAGTGCACCCCTCCTCTGGACCCTATATTAGGAGTAGGTAACCAAAAAACAAAAAATTTGCAGGTTAAGTTGACTGTCCATATTAGCTGTAAGGGGAGTTTGACTTTCATTGTTGAGCTTTATTATAACTTGGCTTATCATAGCTCACTCTGGTTGGTTTGTCCATAAAGAGCAGTGGTGGGACAGAGATGGAGATGGAAAGGGGCTTCAGTAGCATCTAGGGGTGAAACAATGCCTGCTGGGAGAGTAGCAGCAGGTTTAGGGAGAATTTAGGAGTGTTTGACTCAAAGGTAGACTCAGTGGATCCAGGTAAGTAATTAGCTAAACTGGACAAACAAAGCTGCTGAGAATTCTTATGGGTGAAGAAGGCCCTGAAGGGCTTTCCTGTGGCTGTTTGTACTCTGCATTCTTTTTGTGGTCCTGGAGCCTGATCCCAGGGCCTTGTATATTCTAAGCTACTGGGCTACATCCCCAGCCTTGCACTGCAAGAAAAACATTGTATGAACTTTTGTAATTAATGTATATTAAAGGTACAAACAATTTTAAGAAGTTGAACCTTGGTTTTCTTTTTCCATGATGACATAATGTTGAGTAGAACTTTACACTGATCATCTAAAGAGCTGCCTGATAGCATTCACCTTGAAAGTTCTTTTTTTTTTTAAAGATTTTATTTATTTATTTATTATGAATACAACATTCTGCTTCCATGTCTATCTGCACACCAGAAGAGGGCACCAGATCTCATAGCAGATGGTTGGGAGCCACCATGTGGTTTCTGGGAATTGAACTCAGGACCTCTGGAAGAGCAGTCGGTGCTCTTAACCTCTGAGTCATCTCTCCAGCCCCTTGAAAGTTCTTTTTAAAGTATGCCATATGTCTCTACATGTTCTGTCAATAACTTATAAATGAAAAGGAACCTTAGATACACCCAAGGAGGTTTGCTAAGCTAACCTAATGCACTTGTTTGAACCTCAAATAGTCCATGTAGCAAATAAAAGTATGAGATCTTAGCATGTCATATATTACTATTAATTGAGATAATACATCTCCACTAGTCTCCCATGACTAGTGTGCTGTGCATCTTATTGATGCACAGAACTGAGTTTCAACCAAAAGTTGGGATTCTTTTTCACAACTCAGTTTTCACCATAGCTACAATGATATCATGAAATGTGGTTGTTGAAGTAATATGTGGAAAAGGATAAATCCTAAGACAAATGTCATTCATCCTCAAGAAAGCTTTCAATTGAATAAGATCTGTGAAGGCTTGGGACAATAAATTAGGTTGTCCTTGCTGGGTGTTGATGGTGCACACTCAGGAGGAAGAAGCAGGTGTATCTCTGTGATTTCAATGCCAACCTGGTCCACAGAGTGAGTTCCAGGACAGCCAAGGGTAAGCTAGATATACTGTGTCTCAACCCCCCTCTCATAAAACAGTTTGGACTCATATATTCAGTTGTCCTTCTTTGGCCATTCAGAAAAGCACAGCTACATGTAAGACCCTCAGATGGAACACTTGAAAGTCAACTACTCTTAATCATTAAAAAGGCAATGCTTAAAAGAGATTATTGGCCAGGCATGATGGCACATAACTTTAGTCAAATCACTTGGGAGGCAGAAGAAATCTGATGTCTGTGAATTCTAGGCTACCAAGGTAATATAGTAGGAACCTGTCAAGAAATAAAGGAAGAAACTAAAAAAAAAAAAAAAAAAAATCATCAGCCAGATGTTGGTGGTGCACGCCTTTAATCCCAGCACTAGGGAGGCAGAGGCAGGCAGATCACTGAGTTCGAGGCCAGCCTGGTCTCCAGAGTGCCAGGATAGGCTCCAAAGCTACACAGAGAAGCCCAAAGGCCCAAAAATAAACAAAAGAACCCCTTCTCAAAAAACCAAAAAAAAAAAAAAAAAAAAAGAAGAAGAAGGAAGGAAGGAAAGAAAGAGAAAGACACTAGGAAATGAATAACTCTTAATCATAGGAGAGCCTGGAAAATGGTTTTTTGTTTTTAATTTTTCTTTTATGTGTGTGTATATTTTGCCTGTGCATGTATTTGTGCACTGTAGTCATGCAATTCGCATATAGACCAGAAGAGGACATCTGATTCCCTGGGACTGCAGGTACAGATGGTTTTGAGCCATCATATGTGTGCTGGAAATGGAACCCAGGTCCTGAAAAAGCAACCATTGATGTTAACTGCTGAGCCATGTGTCTGGCCCCAAATTTAATATTATCAACTTAAGAAATGAAGCCGGAGGCAGGCTGTGTTGGCATATGCCTTTAATCACAGCACTTGGAAGGCAGAGGCAGATAGATATCTGA